TTTTAGCCATTCTGCTCCCCAGAGCTTTTTCTAGAAATGCTTTATAGTGAAAGTGAGAATTGGCTGTCTAGCCAAAGATTCATGTTCATAGCACAAAGCTGAAAGTTACTACTGTCCTAATGGTAGGGATAACATGCTCTCTGGTAATAGGAAGGGACAGAGAAAGCCAAGACAGGAAAGCCAACACCCATTTTGGAATGGTCGTCTGAATCAAGCTCCTGATTATGTTAAAGAGGAGTCATACTGTTCATTAATTTCAAGGCCTTGGGCTACCGCAGGGAGCATATAGTAACTACTTGGATATTTCATCAGTTATCCATCAGCCCCATTGCATGTTAAATGGCAAGAGAAAAATCCACCAGTTTTAGTCTTCTAGTCCTTTCATGGTGTTCCCAGTCCCTGGGTCAGATATCTATGGAAAATGGCCAAGAATCGACAGGATATCTAAGCAACCATCTGTGCATTACCTAGAGATACCAAGTACTGCTAGGACAGAAGAAATGATGTAAGGACATCCTGAGATGAGGCTTAGATCAGTCAGTGTGCTTGATTGAACACCTATAGTGGGTTTGGCACTGGGAGTGAGAACAGATACAAAATAAATAAAAGGTATAGCCCTTACCCATGGAGAATATGTAGTTAAATTGGGGAGACAGTTTATGTAAAGACTTTCAAAAGAAGAAAAAAACTCCACAAGGTGGTAAGTGCTACATGAGTGGTTCACGAATTCAGGGGTCTTGTGATGTGCCAGGAAACAGAAATAAATGTAACAGTGGGATCAGCTTTTGGACCAAGACTTTAGTGTGATAGCTTAGCGAAGAAGCAGTGTATTAATGTTCTGAGGCAACAGATATTTTTCAGCCACTGCTGTACTCATGGTTGGTAATCATTTAATTAGCAATAGTTCCAGTCATGAAGGACAGCATGATAAATGTACAGTATAAATTCAGTTCCAAAATTGGGCCAAACCGCATTATCTGACCTTTAAAGCAAAGTATAGTATCATTTGGAGCTAAAGGAAAGGCTACCGGAGCAGGAGACAAGATGAAAACTAGGAAGACTTGGGGAGGGTTTAAATGAATGGAGGTGATGGTAGCAGAACCAGCAGTCTGACTGCCACTGATTGTCAAGGTTGGTGGTATCTGATCATATTAAGCTGGGCAGGTGTCCCCACCTGCCTCAGGGATCCTCAGGAATCTGTCTGGTCTGCCTGGGTGGGTTGAAGCAGGATGGGCAGGGAGCATCACTAGTGGGTGACTTGGCTGAAGTTGAACCCTAAGGTTGAGCCTAGTCCTCTCCCTGGGGTGTGAGCTCTATGGGTCAGGGGCAGGGCTCATCTGGGGAACCTACGGGGAGCACCACGCCTGGTTCATTAGTGAATGTCTGGGGAGGCCTTTGAAGATGAAACATTCCGTAAGCACTCATTTCTGTTTTTTGGACAAACTAGTACTTTGGTCTCCAGGGGCTGTTGATCTGGCCCCTTTGTACTAGTCTGGAATTTGCTGCAAACTGAGGGGAATGGGAAAAAAACAAACAAACCTGAAATAGTTTTTGAAAAAACAACTAAACTTCCACCAAACTGCCAGGCTTTAGCTTGTAAATAGGATTCCTCCCCATCCACTTTTCACATTCTTGGGTTTGGGTGCACTCTGTCTTGACCTGTTCCTTCGCCTGCTGGGTTTGGGGTGTGTGTGTGTGTTTCTGGTTCCTAGACACTACAGAGCATGCCAGCAGCAGGCATATGGTGATTGCTGAATAAGCTGCCCGCTGATGCATGCCTCTGGCAGGCACAGAGAACTGGCTGGCAGACTCGATTCTGAAACCCCCACCCCTCATTTTATTGTTTTAAAGATGCATTTCTGTGGCTGTCGTGTGTCATCGAGAAGGGAGGGAGGAAGAGAGGGAATAAATGACTACGATCCTGTCTGTGGGGGACAATGATTGAAGTGGGCATTTTGTACCTTTATAGTGGTTCTTACTGCTCCCTTCATTTTTTCAGCAGGTGTTTGTTAAGGGCCTGCTATATACCAGGCATAAGCATCTGATCTGAATGAGCTGCTAGTGAGGTCAGTAGAGACCCTGAGAGTTAGTTCAATTATTCAACTGCTATGTGCCAGGCACTATTCAAGGTACCAGGAACACAGCAGTGACCAAAACAGATAAGGAGCTGACATTATAGTAGGAGGAGAAAAACAATAGAGCAAGAAACAAATATGTGATGTGTCAGATGGTGATAAATGCTGTGAAGAAAAGTGGGATAAATGCGGGAGAGAGTGTGTGTTTTATAGGTGGTTATGGAAAGCCTCTTTGATACGGTGACATTTGAACAGACACCTGCTGGAAGTAAGGGAGTACTCCATGAAGTTGTCTAAGAGAGGAAGCATTTCAGGCAGAGTGAATAGCAATTATAAAAGCATTGAGGCAGGAAAGTGTTGGGGAATTGAAGTGGAGTAAGCAAAGGGAAGATTAGTAGGAGATCTGATGAGAGAAGTAGGGGGAATGCAGATTGTGCAGGACTTTGTATGACTTTCAGTTTTACTGAAAGGGAGATATGAAGCCAAGAGAGGGTTTTGAACAGAGGGGCAACATGACCTGATTTTGGTTTTAAAATAGACTGAAGTGGGGGTTAGGGAAGAAAACCTCTTTGCAGGTGACCATGCGGAGCAGCTGTCCTGGATGGGCCATGGCAAGCCTAGGATTTACCTGGCTGAGGAATGAGGGGTGGTTTCTTTACACCCCACTTCCCAATTCTCAGTGTACTGTTGCGTGAACAGGGCACCACTTCAGCAGCCAGCATTTCATAGAGCAGAAAGGATCAGACTCTTTTAGGTGTGCTTCTTTCTTATTTTTTCCTCATTAATTTTGGTGTGTAGAAGGAAGGTGGAATTGCAGAAATTTGAAGACAGCAGTATCTTTCTTTTTTAAAAAAAAATTTTTTTTAAAAATATATCTTTATTGATTTCAAAGAGAGGAAAGGAGGGAGAGAGAGAGAGATAGAAACATCAATGATGAGAGAGTCATTGATCAGCTGCCTAGCCCGCAACCCGGGCATGTGCCCTGTCCGGGAATCGAATCCCGATCTCCTGGATCCTAAGTCGATGCTCAGACACTGAGCCACGCCTGGCTGGGCGACAGCAGTATCTTGATTAGAACAGAGAGCATAATCCTTGGGAACCTGGCAAGCCTGAACCTTGTTAGGAGTCACAAAGTGCCACTCCTCATTCCACTCCCTTCTCTCCCACCCTTTCCAGAAGTTTTAGGGTAATGTTGGAGGGAGGGGCATTACTGATCTTGCAACACCATGGGGTATAGTATAGAATAGAAGGAACTTTATTTATTCTTTAAAAGATTTTTTTTTTAATTGATTTTTTAGAGAGAGAGGAAAGGAGAGGGAAAGAGAGAAACATCGATGTGAGAGCAGAACATTAATCAGCTGCCTCCTGCAGCCTCCCTACACAGAATCGAGCTCACAACTTGAGCATGTGCCCTGACCAGGAATTGAACCTTTTGGTGCTTGGGATGACGCCCAACCAACTGAGTCACACTGGCCAGGGCTGGAAGGTACTTTAGAGATCATCTGTTTTAGCCCTGGCCAGTGTGTCTCAGTGATTAGAGCATCAGCCTTTTCACTGAAGGGTTGCAGATTCAATTCCCAGTCAAAGGCATGTACCTCGGTTTCAGGTTTGCTCTCCGCCCCAGTTGGGGCATGTGTAGGAGGCAACCAGTCAATGTCTCTCACATTAATGTTTCTCTCTCTCTTGCTCTCTCTCTCTACCCCCTCCCTCCCTCCCTTCTACTCTCTCTGAAAAGCAATGGAAAAAATATCCTCAAGTGAGGATTAAGAAAATAGAAATCTATTTCAACACCCCTCCATTAACAGGTGCAGATATGGACAGGTGAAATAACTTGTCCAAAGTCACATGTAGATTGCTGGCAGAGTGGGCATCCTGAGTGTTCACTGCTTTGTCTTTGCCCCCAAAAGCTCAGGATATGTCTCAGTAGGCCTTAAACTTTATAGACCCCTCAGGCTCTCAGTTTGTTATAAATGGACTTTAGCTTTGTCTTTGACAAATCACATTTACATGAAATCCTGATGAACAGATGGTGGTAATGAGTTTACATTTCTTTGCCTAGGATCAAGTCCTCCATACCAGGGACTAGGCCAAAACCAGACTGCCATTGCCCCCACTTGGGCCCTACTATTCTCAGAAAGCAGCTGCTGTGATCATGGGTAATATCTTTGGAAACCTTCTCAAGAGCCTGATTGGGAAGAAGGAGATGCGCATCCTGATGGTGGGCCTGGATGCCGCAGGAAAGACCACTATCCTGTATAAGCTGAAACTGGGAGAGATCGTCACCACCATCCCCACCATTGGTAAGAGCACAGCTTGGATGTAGGATTTCATGCCAACAGCTGAGCCAGACACGGGGCCTATTCCTAGATTCCCTCTCCTGGCCACCAGGCAAGTCCATGCAGTTTGTGGGCTTCAGGGAAGGATGGTTATTTAGCTTACTAGCAGGTGCTGGGGTTGCTGTTTGCCCACCTACCTTGGCCTTCTCTGATGCGGGAACTTCTGCAGCCTGGCACTCAGCAGTTGCCCTCAGGTACTGAGCTGGTTTGTTCTTGGTGTTTAGAAAGCAGGTGAAGGACTTTGATGTTCTTGCCAGAGGCCTGGAATTGCTTCAGTTTAGATCCTTGGTGGCCCCCGATCCTGGTTAGGACCTGCCTGTAGGAGGGAGAACATTTGGTTTGTGGATGGAGCTCCAGAGCATCATCTGTAGGTGGTTCTGCATTTGGGGCTCCAGGACTACAGCTCACTTTTTCTTCACTCTGCCTCGCAGGCCCCAGTTCTTAGCTGAGAAAGACTCTGGTGGCCAGTGTTCCAGAGTGGGGCTGAGTCATTTCTTTGTAGGAGGGAGAGCCGAAGACTGAGAATGAGTGGGGAAGGTTGGCTCACCTTCCCATGCAGTCATAAACCTCCTGATTGGCCCTCCTCATCCTCTTCCACTTCTTCCCTTAGTTTTTTTTGGCCTTTAGGCTGTAAGGTCAAGGAACACCATGTGAGAGGAAGCCTTAACTTGCTTTTCCTTGCTGGGGAAAACAAATCAACCCATTGGGCCATCATTTGCAGACCTGGTGTTGGAGGCCAACTGGCCATTGCCTGTTTTTTTCCCCAAAGGGTTCAACGTGGAGACAGTGGAGTACAAGAACATCAGCTTCACAGTTTGGGATGTGGGTGGCCAAGACAAGATTCGGCCTCTCTGGAGACACTACTTCCAGAACACCCAAGGTATAGCATATGAATTGCCCAGGGACTGGCCTGGGTTGGTTGGGTGTGAGCAGAGTGTGTGGCTGTCATTCTTGGTTATGGGTAGCTCCTATGGGTGGGAGAAGAGGAACAACTGTTGCAAATATTTGGAAGATATATGGAGGGTATTGTCTTTTGGTGGTGGGGGAGGGGAGTTCATCTGTCGTCTCTGTGCAGCCCATGCTCTGCCTCCCTAGGGTTGATATTTGTGGTCGACAGCAATGATCGGGAGCGAGTAAATGAGGCCCGGGAGGAGCTGATGAGGATGCTGGCAGAGGATGAGCTTCGGGATGCTGTGCTCCTTGTCTTTGCAAACAAGCAGGTGAGATTTCTTCCCACCCCTGGATTTGAGAGAGGGCAACCTGGCTTCAGAAATCAAGGGCCTTGGAGCTCATTGTATAGGAAACCCTGTGACTGTGCTCTCAATTTTGGAGGTGTGGGAAATAGAATTCGTTGGCTTTTTATGCTTTTCTTGTCCCCCTCCCTTGCTTTAACTAGCAGCATTCCATCCTTAGGGATTGGTGTGGCAGATATGTCACCTCAAATCCCTCTTTTATCTTCCCTATTGTCTACTTCAGTAGAACAGCCCTCACTCCTACAGTCAAATAGACCTGATTTTTTTGCCCAGTTTGAATCACCTCTCCACTTCCCTACTATTCCCATATTTGGTTTCCGCCAACCCAGTGAAGGAATGACCTCTGATGTCTTGGATCTGGGTTTCTGGGATGACTAAATCCAAAGCTGCTCCTTAGGATCTTGTTCTGGGTTCCTATAGTGGAGGAGGAGGAGAGGGTACTGGTATACATCTTGTTGGTAATGGGTGCTCTAGAAGCCTTTGAAAGATCCTGAGGTTCCTTTTTGTGTGTCTCCCTCGTGCTCCAGGATTTGCCTAATGCTATGAATGCTGCTGAGATCACAGACAAGTTGGGCCTGCATTCCCTGCGTCATCGCAACTGGTACATTCAGGCCACCTGTGCCACCAGCGGGGACGGGCTGTACGAAGGCCTGGACTGGCTGGCCAATCAGCTCAAAAACAAGAAGTGAGAGCCAGGCAGCCTATCCAACCACCCCCAGCACCTCTAACTTACCTACTGTCTCCCTGCCCAGCCCTCCCCCTTCCTGCTGCCAGTGTGGCCAGGGCCCTGGGTATCATGTCCGCATGCCCAATAAGAGCCTTGTCTCTCCTGCCTCCCCTCCTTTCCCCTGTCTATGACCAGTCCCCAATTGCTGTCCTAATGATGAATCATTCCAATTTACCAGATTTAAAACAAAAATAAGGTTGTTACGGTTTCATGGGGTACCTCCCCCATCCTCTGAGGTTCGGGAAGTGGGGTGGGGTAGTCTCTCTGTTTGCTTCGTTTGGCTCTGGTTGCTGTGCTCTTGGCATCTGAGTCCCTTCCCTCTCCCTACAGGCCCCTCTCCTACTATTTTTTTCCTTCACCACCCTCTTCCTGTTTTATGTGGAAATTGCACGGGCCTCTCTTTGTGTGCGTGCATGTGTGCGCGTGTATATACATGTATAGAGAGATATATATGTAGGGGCCAGGGAGAAGGGTGGAGGGGGTGGAGTGCAGCTCAGGGCTTGGAGCCAGGACATTGCCCACTCTAGCCTATATCACCTGCCCCTCCCATGTTGGTGAGATAAAGGGAATAAGGTGGAGGGAAGGCTGCCCTAGTCTTACACTGGTTCCTCTCTTCTCTGCAGGGTAGGTTTTCTGGATGATAGGACAAATAATGGATTTTCCACCACCATCTTCCTTGTTACCCCTCTCTTCACCCTGCTTAGGGCAAAGGGTGGCATTTATCTCTAGATGACTGTTCCCAAGGAGATGCCATTCTGCCCTGCCTTGTTGGTGGGAAGGAGAGAGGAACCCACTCATTTTTATCAACTTAGAGTGTTCAACTGATCCTCCCCCTCATCCTTAGATCTGTTCCTCAGGAGCTTGAAGGGGAGGTGGAGATACAAGACCGTGTTGTGTTTTGGGGACCCAGGGTACCGGGGGAGGGTCTCAGGTTTTCCATCTTTATCCTGTTGTTCTTATGAGATGGTGATGCATGGATTGGTCCTATCCCTGCCTTCTCCTCCTCCTCGCCCCCACCCCCAATTTTCTGAATTTGGAGACTGGGTGGTTCATCTGTCCTTTGTCAGAAGTTTCCTAGTTTCCTCATGCAGGCTGGCTGCGTGGCTGATTGGGGAGTGGGGGTGGCATAGTAGACCTCAATATCAATCCCCCTATTCTCCAGTTCCTTTTTCTAGCCCAGGATGTGCTGAAGGATGGAAATTTTCTGTTTCCAGACCCTCAGACCATCCTGCTCTCCCTCCAACCTCCATCCCAACAGCTTTCCCCTGCCCTCATCACCCACTCGCATAAATGGATCTGTGGGTTTGAGAGGAGGGACTAGAACGCTGAAGTAGTTGTTGGTGTTGGTGTAATGCAGTGTTCTTCAGGATCCTCCTATTACTATGTAGTTGTTCAGAAGCTGCTGCTACTGAGTCTCCCTGTCTACAGGGGGTGCTCATCCCTGAGGTCCTGACTTCTGCAGTGTCTGCGAAGCTGTGGCTTTTCTGTGGGCTCCTGTGTGTGCTGGCTGCGCCCTAAGCTCCAAGGCGGCCGCCCATAGCTTTCTGCTCAGCTCAGGGCCTGGGGCCCCCCACAGCATGGCTGAGGGACTCCTTCCCAGAAGGTCTGTCTCAAGCCCTACCCCATGGGGCCAGGCTTCCTGCCACCTTTGTCTACAACAGGAAGATGAATACCCTTTACCCCACCCTAGATTGAACTGTGAAAGAGGTTCCAGAGGTGTCTCCCTCAGTGCCAGTTACTTAGTGATGTTTTACTTACCCAAGATGCAGTGGGTATGTGCAGGTCTCTTGCTCTCTAGGCCTTTGTGTGTATGTGTGTGTGTGTGTGTGGTGGTGGGGGAAGTGGAGCTCTGGAGCTTCTATTTCATTTTAACATGTATTCACTCCCCTGACCCCACAGATGCTTCCCTCTACACCTTTTTTTTTTTTTTTTTTTTT